TCAGGGAACTATTACAGAAATCCAGGGAGAGGATAGAAGGGCCTGAAAAACCAGGTTCAGGTAGAGAGAAAGGCCGAGAGAGAGACAGAGAGGGAGAGAAAAAGAGAGAGGGAGAGAGTTGTTGATTGTGATGATCGTAGGAATGGGGCAGCTTTCTGGTTTGGTTGGTTGGTTGCAGGGATGTCACTCACAGCATGTCAGAGACCAGTGGAGGTAAAGCAGGCTCGGGTGTGTTTACGGGGCAGGATAGGGGGAGGGTGGAAGGCAAGCAGTGGGGAGATGGTAAGTTCAATTAGCACCACGGTGGCCTTGAGATTCCTGCCGAGGTACATGAAAGCAGCTGGACAGATGGGTCTGCAGCTCAGGAGAGGGGCTGTGGTGAAGCCATGTAAATTCTGCTCCCTTTTACAATTCATTTAAACATGGTTCCCAGATGAATGCACTGTTCATATCAACATACTGAAAAAATATCTTCAATAGTTCCCCCAGCTTTGAATGAATTATTCCCATCTCACCCACACATTCAGAGCCAGCTAAAATGGAATCCTAACTGAGGCAGAGTTGAGAGAAAATGGAATAAATATCTCAAAAGTAGACCCTATGAGATTTTGTGATTGGTTATTTTTGGGTTTAGGGGTCAGAAGATGGGAAGATGAAGAAAGGAAGTGATAATGCTTCTCAAGCTGACTTCTCTGTTTATACTTCCTACTTTAATTTTCTCTTGCTGCAACTTAGGGCAAAAAGCAGCTAACTTCTACTGCAAAAACATCATTGCTGGGAATGTGGCACTTCTTCCATTTCTCTTCTTTCCTTTGGTACATTCCCTCACTTGCAGACTAAAATTCAGCATATGCAGCACAAGTGTATAACTCATCTATATTTTATCATAGGCCTCCCTTGCTAAGGTATATGCAATGGCTCCCTATTACCTCTAACATCAAGAGAGAACTTCTGCCAGCTGAAGCCACTTCTTCTCTGGGCCCTGTAGCTTAATTTCTCGATTTGATGAAATGCTGTCCCACCTTTATGGCCCATTTTGTCCCATGCTTAGTAATGATAACACTCAGATGCCAGGAAGTGCTGACCAATGGAACTTTCTGGCATGATGGATATGTTCTCTACCTGTGTTGTCCAGTACTGTAGCCATGAGCCACACGGGGCTACTGAACACTTACAATGTGGCAGGTGTGGCTGAGGAATTGAATTGAATTTATTTTAATTCATATTCATGTACATAGCCACTCATGGTAATTGGCCACTGTACTGGGCAGTACAAGGCTGGGGCTTGTTTTTTCTCTCTCTATAGCGTGAGGATGGATGTCTGACTTCACTGAGACCTTCATTTCCCACTTCCCCAGAATGTTCCGTAAAGGCTTAGCAACTGCCTTCCAGCTTCCCGCCTCCCTGCTCTGCCCGCAGCTCCCTCTCCAGCCCACAGCCTAGTTCAGATCTCCTTCCTGAAGGGCTGGGAGTGTGCACTCAGTGTGCAATGACTGGCCCACAAGCAAAGCTTATCACGGTTGTTATTTTCATTATGAAAAACAGTTCCATTAATAGTAACAGATTTCTTTGTTTACTTTATCCGAGAACAAGTCACACCCACCAAGAAGACAGACTGTTTAAAGGGACTAACAAGGAAAGTTAGTCAAAAGCAAGTCAAACTCAAGGCCCACCAGGCTTTCTTCCCTGATGTTTGAATCATCTCACGATAGGCCTGGCTAATGAGCAATGCTGAGGGCCACAGTAGAAGATGGCTCTGACATGGGACCGGAAGCTCCCCTGCTTAGTCATCAGCGTCCAGCTGTCATCTCCCCAGTGCGTGGGCCTAATTCTAGCAGTCCCAGCAGTGTGGAAGTTTGTCCTAAGCCACCCCCACTCTACCCTGTAACCCATGGCCCAGTGCTCACAGTCATGCCACCTACGGTGGGGATGATAGCAGCATCCAGGGGACACTGGGTGGGTGTATGGGGGAATGGCATTATTTCAGGAATACAAAGATGGTTAGTCAGGGCCCTGACCACGTGCAGGCAGACAAGGTGGTAGCCTACCTGTCACAGGGGCATGAAAGCCCCTCTCGGCTAGGTCTGAGAACTTAAGATCCTCACACCTACTCTTGTCTTTGCAAGGCCATTCTACAATGCACAGATGCTTCTGGGGGAGGTTTTTGTTTTTGTGTGTTTGTTTTTGCCACAACAGAACATAAAATATTTCCCAGAAGTAATCACAGAATAATATCCCAGCATTCTTCTGTGCTGAGTTAATTCTCTTTAATCTAGGGTATCTTTTTGGCTCCTGTTGCCCTGACCCCACTTCTTCAATGCTGTTGGAGACCTTCAGTTTCTCCCATAGCGGTTCTAACAATTTGGGTCTCTGGGGGTAGCCCATGAGACCTGAGTCCTCATAACCACCATGTGGCACCTGCCTGTTTTCCTCTTCTCCTATGCCAACTCCATTTGGTGGCATCACACCAGAAGCCAAGTGAAGGCTTCTCATTATGCTGCTGCTAGGAGGGGGTCCTCTTTCCCAAGTCTGATGCTGCTTCAGGTGAATGATCACAAATCTCACACTGGGCTGGGCCGTGCTGAGACTGTTGAGGTAGGGGAGAATGCCCGTGCATTTGCCAGAATGCCTCACTCTTCCATCTTCTCCAGAAAATTTTGTGTGTGAACCATCCTTTTCATTTCTGCCTCTCATCTGCCCTCTTGCTAGGATAGATATGAGTCTTTGCAAGTTACAGCGTCTGACCTAGAGAGACAGAAAGCTGTATACAGGTCTTTAAATTTCCTCCTCCTCCTTGCATTCCTGCTATGGCTCCTTCAGATCATTTACACAGGCTTAGAGTAAGTGATCAGCCCCAGAGTGGCTGTTCTTTGAGTTGGAAGACCTTGAAGACAGCAGTTAACTGAGGAGCAACATCTAAGATAAAATTCTTAACGGGGGTGTCAGGACACTGATGGAAAGCGAACCCTTTGCAAGTGTGGTGCCGAATTGTCATCAAAATGTCAAACTCTTTTTACCTGAGTATATGCACTCGTGATGATGCCTGTCCAACAGGAGGTTGAATCAAGTATGTCTTGGCTCCTAGTGTACAACATAGTATGACCTTTCTAGTCCCTGGTGGGAGGTGAGGGCTGACTACAGGCTGGCACCCAGGAAGGAGAGTTTGTGACAGGAACACAGACCCCATGTGAGGATCAAGAGAGCCCAGTTAGGGCAGAGCCCTCTTCAGACAGCAATGTAGAACGGAAGGGCAAAACGTATAAATAGGGTCAGAACTCTGAATACGATTAGAGTCAGTGGAAGAAAGACTCTGTAATTCCATATAAAATTCTAGTATTTGAAAATATGCCGTGAACATAAATAAAGATCGAAAACCACAGGTCTGTAAGGAGATAAAAAGAAAGGAATCAAAAGCAATGGATTCAACATATTAAAGATAGGAGTGAAGGAAGAGAGAAAGCCTGGTGATGGAGCGACATTTTGAAATGAAGAGGGGAGTTTAGGAAGCTCTCAAAGACGATCTCCATCCTTGGAGTAGGAAGCAGTCATTTGTTGATAAAAATAATGAATAACATTCACTGGCCTTGGACCAGGCGCCTTGCTCAGTGGTTTATATGCATTAGCTTGTTTAGTCTCCACAGTTCCATAGAGTAGGGACTATTATTATACCAGTTTAAGAAGTGAGGAAACCGAGGCTCAGAGAAGTTGTATAATGTTCCCAGGGTCAAGGAGCCAGGAAGGGAAGGACTGGTCTCTAACCAGGTGAGATGAAACTGCGCGAGAGTGCAGTTGGCTTAGCTTGGCTATGTGGTGGACGTTCTAGGGACTGACGAAAGCTGAATAAAGCGGTTATAAGATGGAGACTTCCTCCAGCCAGGAGAGGAAGGCAGGCACTGGGGCCTGGCAAGCGTGAAGCACAGCACAGCGTTGAGGAGTCAAGGAGCTCCACGTAGTGTTAAGGGCGCTGTGGAACTGGCTGGGAAAGAAGGAAGGTGGCGCTCAGAGGATGTGCTCAAGGAGGACCACAGGCCAGCTGATAGGTCGCTGTGGAGGGAAGGAAAGGAGAGAGTTGTCTTGGGTGGAGTTCCTGTGGAGACAAGCTGTGGACTCCTGGACCTGATCCAACGACAGGCAGAGCTCTTGTGTGAAAACAAAAGCCAACTAGTGATTCAGTGGGTTAAGGGGTCTGGATTCGAATCCGCTTCTGCGTTCTGTCGGTAGATTCATTTTGCTTTCAAATGCTTATGTGCTGTCAGCCTCCTGGAGAGAGCCACATGGAGCCTGACTGAAGAGGTAGGAGGAAGGCAGCTACAGGGAGGCCCTTGGTTCAGCAGGAGGGCTGTAAACACTCTCACAGGGCAGGGGACAGAATGCCACCCGATGACATGCGGCAGGAACATTCAGGAGATGCCAACTTCCTGCAGGCTGGCTGCTTGGCCAGGGGCCGGGGGTTTTGGGGGTCTGCTGGGGAAGGACTCCACTCCACGGAGAGGTCAGAGCACGGACCCCGGCACCTCCTCTGTGGAAGCATGCCCGGGCCGCTTCCGCCGCCTCTGCAGCTGCGTGGGACTCACCCGGTGCCCTCAGAGCGAGGCTTTATTTTCTCCTCTCTCTTGTCAGATACTGGCTCCCACGCAGGAAAAAGGAAGCACCTTTTGTCAGATGCTGTGGCCACTTCCTCTTCATGAGGCTCCAGCCGGTCTTTCGCTTTGCAGAATGAGGGGGCCGACATCAGCGGCCGGACTGCGTGTGCATCGGGCCGCTGCCTTTCGCCTCTTTTGCGGTCTCGCTCCAGCCCCCCGTCGGGAGCAGGCCCCGCGGCCGCTTCTCCGGGTCCCGGGGGATTTTCTCTGATACAGATCTGCACCCTTGAGGCCGACCTGGCTGGGGCCCCACGGGCTTGTCCGGCCCCCTGGGGGTTCCTCTCTCGCCTCTCCGCCCCTTCTTTGCACACTGCTTCATATCCCTCGGTCAGCCTGCCTGTCTCTTCCTCTCCATAGCTCGGTCAAGGAGCGTGATGACCGGCGAGCAGATGGCGGCCTTCCACCTGTCGTCCACCCCCAACCCTCTGGAAAGGCCCATCAAGATGGGCTGGCTGAAGAAGCAGAGGTCCATCGTGAAGAACTGGCAGCAGAGGTACTTTGTGCTGAGGGCGCAGCAGCTCTGCTACTACAAGGACGAAGAGGACATGAAGCCACAGGTACCAGCCAGACTGTTCGTCCCCGTTCCCAGGGTTCTCCTCTCCAGGCACGCAGGAGGCGGGCGAGGAGCCCACGTAGATTATGTGTGAACTCACAGGGGCCTTTTTACTGGGACGAGACCCGCATCCATTGGAGAGGAGCTCACTCTCCCCCTTTCACCACTTTCTAGACAAGTAAACTGAGCTGCAAAGATGCCAGGGTGATCCTCCTCCACGGAGCCCCCAGGTGAGCACTGTGGAGCTTCCTAGATGCAGCTCCACGTCAAAGCTGGCAGCCTGGTCTTGACAGGGATGCTGAGTACCAGGGCTCAGAGAGAGCGGATTTGGGTTCAGGAAAACTGATTTGTCCTTTTCCTTTATTTGTTCGTTCCATCAATATTTATTGAGTATCCATTACGCGCCAGAAACTGTTCTGGGTACTTGAAGAAAACTAGTGAGTAAAACGGATAAAAATCTCTGCCATGTAGAACTTAGAAGATGGGGAAAGACAGAAAATAAATATAATAAATAAGGAGAATAGGTAGTTTGTTGGAAAATAGCTAGTTCTATGAGGAAAAAATAGAATGGCTTGAGGGGGAGCAAGCGTTTGGGGGAGGAGTCACAATTTTAAAGAGTGGTTAGAAGGACCTGGTGGAGAGGGAGGAGAGGCAGTTGGGGGGGGGGCAATCTGGGGAAAGAGTGCTCCAGGGAAGAGGGAACAGCCAGTGCAAAGGCCCTGAGGTGCAGCATGTCTGCTATGTGTGGGGAACAGCAAGGAGGTCAGTGTGGGGCAGCAGAGCTAGAGAATGAGGGAATCAGAGGGAATGATGTCAGAGAGGGAAGGGGAGGGGTTGAGGGTCAGGGCTCAGATTGCAAAGGGCATTGTAGGTCACTGTAAATCCTTGAGTGTTTACATTGAGGGCGATGGAGAGGCGTTCCAAGGTTCCCAGCAGAAAGGGGACATTCTTTGGCTTATGTTGTAAAAAGATGGCTCTTTCTACCGTGTCCAAAAATAGACTCAGGGCCAGAAGGAGGAGGCAAGAGGGTAATCTAGGTGAGAGGTTAAGATGTTTAGAATCTCAGTGGGAGTTGTGGGCTGAAGGACAGCAAACAGGATTTCCTGATGGAGTAGATGGGGCCACAGAGGGCTTTGATCCTAAATGTTGGGCCTGTGTTTCTTTTTCCTGCCTCATTGATTCCTCATGGCCATCGTGGTGCATGAGAGTGGAAAGGGGTGCTATTAAAAATTACCCTGGGACCCAAGGTGTGGACTCCTTGTCTCAGGGCAACCAGGACGACTGGTCTCCCTGTCTAGACCTCATGTCTGCGGAGGTGGAAGAGTGGGCTTGGCCAGAAGGAGCTTATTAGGATAGACAGACTCTAGAACCTTCTGGAGCCAGAAAAAATCCCAAGAAAAGTGAGGATATTGGAGGGGGGATGGGAGTATGTAAAGAAATGAGACGGTCACTTTGGAACAGGACAGTTCCTTTTAAGGGCAGGCTTGGGGATCTGTGACGCATCAGCAGCACCTGGTTAACCAGGCCTGCCACTTGAGGACTGTGAGTGTCTGTCATTGCAGAGGCTGGAGAAGGGCCAGAGGCCCCCCGACAGACTGAGTTCTTGCCCGGTGTCCTGTGTGTGGTCACTAGACTCCCTTCACTTCCTGAACAATGCAGACCCTGTCAGAGCCAAGCAGTTGCAGGCCAAGACGCTGGTGATGCAGTGACAGCGGGTTAGTAGGTGGACTTCCCACCTGCAGAGTGAGGGAGGTGGCAATGATGCATTGGCCTCACCAGATCAGGGGAAAGGACAGCTCCGTGGGGTTTACTGCCCAGAGGTGTAGAGAGTGAGAGGAACGTTACGTCCAAGCTTGTGTTCTTTTCCCGGTCCTACTGTCTGGCCATGTGACTATTTAATTTTTCTGGACCCCTCTTTGTTCTTTGGTAAAAATGAGAGAATCCTACCTGGCCTGCCTTTGTCACAGGATCAAACAATATGAAGCATGTGTAAAAAGCCATTTTGTGTAAGCATAAACTGATGTCAAAGGGTAAAATAAATTGTTGAAGGTCCCAGCTTCTCTCCCTTACTTCTGGAGGAGGAAACTCAAAGTCCTCTCAGGATTAAATTAGCCTGGGATAATTAGCTAAAGCTTCTTCTAGGATGACAGGCGTGGTTTATTTTTTAGGAAATCTATTAATATAATACGTCAGATCAATAGGTCGAGATCAATAAGGCAAATGAGAAAAACCACACAACTCCTAACTAGATGGCTGAAGAAAGTATTTGATAAAATCCAAAAATACTCATCTCAGATATAAAAAGTTTTTAAAAAAGCTTTTAAGAATAAAATGATAATTTCTTAGAAAAGAAATTTTACTTTATATGTATATGCATGTTTTGATTACAAAAGCTGTATGTACGCATGGTAAGAAATTTGGAAGATGCAGAAAAGCACAAAATAGAAAATAAAAATTATCCCATCAGCAAGACATAGCCACCTAAATCCTCACTTCTTCTAGTTTTTTCTATGTACATTTAGAAACTCATTATTCTAAATGCAAAATTAATATAATCATATTCTTTAAAGAACTAACAGGATATCATGAATATTGTCCCATATGATTAAATATTCTTCTACAATGTAATTCTTAATGGTGGCAAAATAGTCTATTGTATGGACATTCTACAATATATTTAACTAATTTCCTACTGGAAATCAGTTGAAAATTTGGGCTGATGTTTCTATATTATTATTATAAACAAGAATTAAGTGAACATCACTGTAGACTCTCATATATCCACAATTATTTCACTAAATAAAAAAATCTATTCAAAGTAAAGTACTTTTATTATGCTATCATTTAACATTGTTTTGGGATTCCTAGACAGTGCAAATATCTAGAAATGAAGTGAAAGTTACAGACATGAGCTAAATTCCTGGGAAAAGTGAAGGTATATTTCCATACTATGTTTCGTACCACTCGTGATTCCGGGTGGATTAAAGACTAAATGAAAAATCCTGAGTTTGTAAAAATGTCGTTATCTGCATAATCTTTGGGAGGCAGGTATTTTTTAAGCAAACAACAAAGATATCACAAGGGGAAGACTAATTTAATTGCATAAATAAAAATGTCTGTATTTAAAAAAACAGTATAATAAAGCAGGCAAATAATAAACAGGAAAAAAATTGTGTATATGTATATGATAAACAAATATTCTTAATATTTAAACTATTCTTTCAAATCTATAAGAAAAGTTCAAACAGCTCAATAGAAAAATGAGCAAATGACACAAATGGACAATTTGCCAAAGTGTAATGGCCGATAAGTATCTATAAAAAAGCTCAATCTCAGTAATAATTAAAGACATACAATGTAAGCTAGTGAGATACTACTGTTCCCTTATCAAATTAACAAAGACTTTCTGGAAATTTCAGTGTTGGTAAAGACCACGGAACAGGAATTATCATGCACAGCTGGTGGAAATGAAAATCCATACAACCTTTCCGGAGGGTGATATATGCCTTTTAGAAAATACAAACTCTTTGACCCTGTATTTCTAATTCTAGTAATTTAACCTAAATGGATGCTTAAGATTGATGTAGATAATTAAATTTACTTGTACAGGTTTTCACCACACTGTTGTTTATAAGAGAGATGTGAAAACAAATGCCCAGTGGAAGGGGCTAGGTTATATCAGGGAACTTTTATATAGCTATACAATAGAATACAATTCAGCTGTTGATACCCTAAATTAATAGTTTTTGAAATGGAAAGATATCCATAATATTATTGTTTTAAAAAGGGCAGTTTACAACAGAGGATGATGTACATACTAATCCCATTGTTGAGGGAAAATAGTCATGAATCTCTGAGTACTGGAGTTACATGCAATTTTTCATTTCCTCTTTTTTGTTTCCTTTCTAATTTTTATATAGCTAAAATAGAAGTTTAAAAAGAACACACACATCCTATTCCTAAGAACCCCCAAAACAGAAACACCCCAGTAATCTTGGAGCAATCAGATGAAAAAGGCCTTCATGTATGCTGATGATGTGTGTGTAAATTGGTGCAATTTTCTAGAAAGTCATTTAGCCAAATTTCTAAGAGCCAAAAATAGTCATATCCTTACATTCAGTTGTTCTGGTTTTGAGAGGCTATCTAAAAGAAATAACAAGATATGTACAGTGCTATTTGTGATGAGAAACACTGGACCTAATGTACAACAAAGGAAAATGATCAAATAAATTATGGAACCCTGTATTGATGGTCTCTGTGTATGTGCTGTCAAGAAACTTGGGGCTCGGTAGAAGGGAGTCTATGCATTTTTTGCTCTGAGTTCACAGAAAGATCTGCCCAGCTCTGACAACATAATGCTCTGTGAGTCTCTGACCTAGCTTCACAAAACTCGTTCCAAAAGGTTCTTTGCTGGGGAAGTCGTTTAAAACAGAATCTCAGCAAATTGTCCCCAAGTCACTGCTACCATGATGGTTTTAGACAATCCGAGCTTGGTTGCTCCGTCGTCTCATCTCCTGCTTTCTGTGGAGTCACCACAGGCTGTTGTCTGTCGGTGATGTGTTGGCAAAATTTTAATAGATGATTCTCTGGTGGGAGAGTTGATTTGAATGCAGCATTTGCCAGTTTCTGTGGTGTAAATCTTCCCCACGTGGCTGATTCAAGTGACCAACGTGTCATCACTGAATGCAGCATTGAAAAAAGACGCGCAGTAGCACGATGTTACAGTATTTCTAGCACACAGGTAGGTTAGATGAAAATAACCATAGGAACAGAAATACTAGTAAAATATGGTAGATAATTGGGAAGTGCTGATTTCTGAGTATTATCTTTATTTTTAATATAAAATATTTCATTGTACATTTATATGGTTTAACTTTTAATAATGGCTGTGTTTAACCACTGGCTCACCGAGTTGCCTGAAAATGTAACAGTTAGTTCTCGTGAGCCAATATAAGCAGGCCCCGTACGGCTCTCCCCTGCCTCACTCCTGTAGGACTTGTGGCCTCCAGAGCAAACCTCCCCCTCCTTCCATCTTTGTTCAGAGTCTGCTTTAATCAACTTGTGAGTTAGGCGAAAGTGGCCACAGGCGTCTTGGGCCCTTCCCTACCTGGGACACTTCCTCCTTCCCCATCAGTGTTCCCACCCCCACCCCCACCAATGTCTCTTTTCCTCCTTCCCGCTCTTCTTCTCCCTCACTCTCCTCTATTCGTTTAAGATGTTAGGCTCTCATGCTCAAGATGAGGAGACGGCTTGCGATCTGTCATCTCTGCCTTGGTGAGATTAAGTTTACTTCTGATCACTACTTCTTCCAGCAAGTAAGTGCGACTTGTAAGTAAAGCCTTACTTGTAATTCTGGAATCCCACTGACCGAGGTTTGAATCAGCTTTCTTAATTAGCTTTGTGATGTTGGATCAGCTGATTAACCTCTCTGAGCCTTACCTCCTCATCTCCCCAGTGGGGAATATAACAGTCCATCCCTCATAGAGTTCTTATGAAGGTTGGATGTAATAGTATATTCAGGGCATTTAGCACAGATCCTGGCACCTAGTAACTGCTCAATGAGTGGTATTTATATGTTTTGCATTTTATTTTTACTATTTTTGGATGAAATGATTTGGGATATCAAATAATAGTTTAGAGAGGTATTTAGGAGAGGCAGGTACCTGTGAAATCACACTCTCTTTTTCTTCCTACCAGGTGGTACCCCCTCTGGGGTAAAAATAACGTGGCCTTTTCTTCTGGTGCCATAACTCATGCAAAGTAGCCCAGCAGTACAATCTCAGGGCCGTTTTTTTGAGGCCATTGATATTATTTAAAGATGGCGAGGACCATGTAGGTGGAGTTACATTTAAGTGATAAAATCAGAGAAATGTAGAAAAAATGCAGAATTCCCTTTGACAGACGGATATTTTTCTTTTTCTTCTTCCCCCTCCCCCCTCACTTTTCTTCCTCTCTTCCCCTTTCTTCTCCTCCTCCTCTTCCTCTTCTTTCTTATTCTTCTTCCTCCTCCTTTTCTTCTTCTTTTTCTCCTACTCTTCGTCTCACTCAGACGTTTTTATTTCTATTTTTATTTTTATTGTTTGTTTTAGATTGGCACCTGAGCTAACAACTGTTGCCAATCTTCTTTTTTTTCTGCTTTTTCTCCCCAAATCCCCCCAGTACACAGCTGCACATTTTCAGTTGTGGGTCCTTCTAGTTGTGCCATGTGGCACACCGCCTCAGCATGGCCTGATGAGCGCTGCCATATCCGTGCCCAGGATTTGAACTGGTGAAACCCTGGACCGCCGAAGCGGACCGTTGCAAACTTAACCACTCAGCCACAGGGTGGCCCCCATTTTTATTTCTAGACCCTTAAGAAACGTTTATTTTTTTCGGGCTCCTGAGTGATCTGAGAGTTCCTCAAGACTCTTGCCTTTATAGCTTCTCTGCTGCCAATCCTCCTCATCCACGTGGTGTTTTAGAATAACGACACACATGTTTAGTCAGCTCAGAATCAGACGCACTACCTCCAACAGCCAGTGGGATGTAAATTATGAGTAACTAACTCGAGTACAAATTCACCACGTTCGCTTATGCAGTCAGTTAGACATTCAAAGTGTTGGTCTTCCCATCTGCAAAGTAGAAGTGGCAGATCTTGCCACACTCTTGATATGGAGCTGTTGAGGGGATCTGGGGAGATGCCGCATGTGACAGTGCGCAGTGAATGGTAAAGCACCGTGCATCCACATGGTGGAAGTGACTTGTTTTTCTGATAACACATTTGTGTATAAGAGGTCACATATCCTCCGGACCCTCACTCCCCGCCAAGGATCCATGATCCTCCTCCCTCCTTCCAGGGCACATTAAGCTGACGGGTCCCCACAACCCCAGCTGTGATGGTGATGAGCGCAGGCTTTGAACCCTCTGAGATGCATTACCATTCAGCCTCTTGCTAGCTCTGTGACATTGAGAAAATGACGGGGTCTTTCTGAGCCCCAGTTTCCTCACTTGTAAATATGCACAATGGTACTGTGCTTGGAGGGTTGCTGGAAGGACTAAATGAATAATATATTCAAGGTGCTTAGCAAAGGGGCAGATACCTGGAATGTGCTGCTCAGTAGCTCTTGCTATGACGAAGTACCCTATCCCCTTGAATGGCTACCTGTGGTTCAGTCCTCAATGCCCCCTCTGGCAGCCCAGCAGATAGTATGATCCACTCAGTCTCAGCGTTGCCTTCTCAAAGATCAGGTGTCTGATTTGGCCAGGAAGTCATAACCTTGGAAAAGTGGGAAGAGGCAAGTGTTGGCGATGGTACCCTCTCTGGTCACAATGCCCCCTCTGGCAGCCCAGCAGATAGTATGATCCACTCAGTCTCAGCGTTGCCTTCACAAGGATCAGGTGTCTGATTTGGCCAGGAAGTCATATCCTTGGAAAAGTGGGAAGAGGCAAGTGTTGGCGATGGTACCCTCTCTGCTCATTCTCCTGTCGGGACCTTGTCCTTTTCTCTCTAGGCGTCTAGCCTGCTCTCAGATGGCTGCCAGTTTAATTTGGCTGAGGCCTGAATAGTGGAAGGGCCCCATTCAAAACTGAGATGCCAGCTTTCCATGTTCCTCACCACCCATCCCCTGCCCCAGCCCATCATTATTGTGTCTGTCCTCCAACTTCCTTTTAGTTTACAGATGATAAAATTGCTGCTTATATTAAAGGCCTGACTTTTGATCTTTCAGGGTTGCATGTATCTACCAGGAAGTACGATCAAGGAGATCGCCACAAACCCGGAAGAAGCAGGGAAGTTCATCTTTGAAGTCACTCCAGGTAGGTGATGAAAGGTGGGACAGGGGTGCATTACATTTTAATTTAACTTCTGCATCCAAAGCTATATTCAGTGAGTTCGTCAGTCAACTAACCAACCTAGTAAGAATTCATAGTACTTCTGGGTATAGTTAATGAACCTATACTAGCTCCTTAACTGGCATCAAGTGAGCTAAGTGGGTGCACATTCAGGTCAACTCCATAAACATTTCATGAGTGTGTGCTTAGCGTCAGGTATTCCACTAGGCCCTGGGGAATGTTTATCTGGAAAGTGTGCCCTCCCTGCTCACTAAAAGCAGCTCAGTTTTGAAGGTGAGTGGGACATTAAAATTAACACTTAAAATATAAATTGAATCATGTGAGATTGCCGTTTGCGTAGCTCGAAAATGGTTGACGATCAACAGTCGCATATGGTTCAACGTGACCTAACGAGAAATAACAGTTCTAACTTACTGAGCACTTAGCACATGTCGGTTGTTGTAATTCACCACTTGTACGCGTGAGCAGCCCACTGGAGGATGCCTCTTCCCCATCAAGAGTTACCTTCCTGTAATGCATTTGCAGCGAGGGGAGTTTGTATAACTGTGATCGGGTTACTTACTTTCTCCCTGCCTCTGTTTCAGTATCTGTAACATGAGGACAATGATGATGGTAGTGAGCGTTGAATAAAGGAATATATATGACACGCTTGGTACAGTGCCTCATGTATAGTTAGCACCATGTCAGGGTTTGATATTTTGGGGATAGCTAGAGGAAATTATAATGTAGAAACCAATCCTAAAACTACCTATGACCATCCATAGAAAACAAAGGAAAACATTTTTAAAGTTCAGCTCTTCCCAGGTGGCCCCCTCATGGGCACTCTTTCGCTTTTCTATGTGAAAGTCTCTCCACCTCTCTTCCCCTGCAGAGGGAGAACTTACTTTTTCATTCTCTCCTCTCTGGGAAAACCTCACCTCTTTCCCACAAGGCTTCTATTCCTAGGATCCTTTCCCCAGCCCAGTTCATAGGATGCAACCATCCGTGGTAACACGTGTCCCAAAGCCTGAATTTTCAGTCTGGGGGAACCCTTTTGAGAGCTCCAGCTGCAAATGCACTGTGGGCTTTGCACCGAAGTCCAGGACCCTCGAAGATTGCTGTGCTGGGGTGGATGAAGGTTTGTCCGCTTACTCTCACTCTTACTTGCAGCATTCTCCTGGCTGCTGGGGGAATTCTTGGACAGAGTCACACACGTACACATGCATGCACACAGCACGCATACACGTCATAAGGACAAACAACAATTCTAAAGCAATGGGAAGGTAGGGAACCATTTTCCTAAAGGTGCCATCACTCCCAAGGCTCCGCCCAACCTACAGTGAGACGCCCTTTATGTTATGACATAGAGAAGTTTTGGTCCCTTTTTTGATCAGCCTCTTGTCCAGGATGGTTCTCAGGGGCCGATGCTGGCTTAAGAAATGGCCTTCCTAGTCCAGGCCCCCTCTCCGCGATCACCACTGTTAGTGCACAAAGGCCACAGAGAAGACTTTCACTGTAGGTATGCTATTTATTTGAGGCAGGCAAAAATTTAGGGCAGGCATCCTCCTCCCGCTTACCTTCAGCAGAATAAATATCTGTTCTCCTCCCACCCTAAGGGAGTCTTCAGAGATGGGGGGGTTAGTCCTTCTGTGGGCTTACGTTGCATTTAATTCTCGTACTGCCTTATGAGAGGTTACAACAAATTTACTGAGTACCTACTATGAGCCGGGCACTATCGTAGGAACTGGGCATTCAGCAAAGAACGAAAGAGCCTGCATGCAGGTTACAGTCTAGTGCGGGGGAGACTGAAAACAAACCAAGGAAATGAGTAACTTATACAGTTTTTATGTTAGGATAAGTACTATGCAAAAAATCAAAGCAAAGAAAGAGAAAGCGCTGGTTGAGGTGGGGGTGGCTTTGGTTGCTTTGTCATTTTAAATAGAGCAGGCAGAATAGGCATTGTTGAGAAGGTGACCTTTGAGCAAAGATCTGAAGGAGCTGAAGGAGTGAGCTCTGTGCATATCTGGAAGAAGAGTATTCCAGGAAGGGGAACAGCCAGTGCAAGGTCTCTGAGCGTATTTCACATGTTCAGGAAACATCAAGGAGGCCAATGTGGTTACAGTGGAGTGGTGACGGGGGGAAGAGGAGGAGATTTGGTGGGGGAGGGCACAGACTTTACAGGCACTTATAGGCAATTGAAAAAGGTTTAGTTTTTATGGTAGAAGGGTGGGAAGCTATTGGGAGGTTTTGAGCAAAGAAGTAACATGATCTGACTTCTGTTTTAAAACTTTTGTGAGTTGAGAATAAAAATGAGCAAGGAGGCTACTGCCATAATCCAAGTAAGAGATCGTAACGATGAAGAGGGTGAGAAACAACCAGTCTCTGGACACATTCTGAGGGTACAGAGGACTTCATTTGCTGATGGATTTGAAAGAGAAGTCAAGGTTCTCACCTAGACAATGGGAAAGATGGATTTGCTGAGATTTGTGCATGAAGCAAGTTCTGAGTGGAAGATCAGGGCTTTAGTTTCGGACATATTAAGTAATTACCTCAATGTTAATGATAAGGAAACCAGTGTCCAGGATAATTTAGCTACTGCTGTGATAGAGGTAAGGATAGCATGTTAAGGAATTTAGAATAGGGACTCCTCACTCAATTTAGAGTGGGAGGAGGAGATGTTTGGATCCTTAGAGAAGATGACACTTGAGCTACGTTTTAGAGGATGGATAGGAGTTCCTTAGGCAGAGGAAGAAAAGAAGGGAGCTTCCTTTCTGCCAAGGGAAGCAGCCCAAGAGGTGATGCATATTGAACAGACTGTTGAAGTCAGAGAAAGTATGTGCCTGAGGGCAGATTGCTATTCATGGGCTTTGTATTACTGTCAGGCAATTTCCCTCAAAGAAAGCTTGTCCTGGCACCCCAAGGGCCCAAACAGTAATTTTTTTGTAGGGCAACAAAAGATTTTCAAATTCCCTTTGGCTCTGGTTTCTTGAACCTATCTTAATGTCACTGACCCTCACCATGTTTACCCTTTGGGATGACCTGATTTTGAATTCATCTTATCATCAGGTCATCAGCTATTCTGACCAGAAGGGTCAGTCCATGGAAACCCTGGCCATTCAGGACCATCTAGAGAGCTGGACTTTTCTGAGTGGGGTTACCATGATGGAACTAAAGGATTTCTCAGGAATCAGGGTAAACTGAAAAGGCATGTTCTTTTTTTTTTGCTGAGGAAGATTCGCCCTGAGCTAATGTCTATTGCCAATCTTGCTCTTTTTGCTTGAGGAAGATTCACCCTGAGATAACATCTGTGCCAATCTTCCTTTCATTTGGGAGCCACTTTCACAGCATGGGCACTGATAGACAAGTGGTATAGGTTTGCACTCGGGAACTAAACCTGGGCTGCTGATGTGGAGCATGCTGAACTTAACCACTAGGCCACCAGAGCCAGCCCTGAGAAGGCATATTCTTGATAATATAATAGACTGAAGTGTAGGCATGGTAGAGAATGGTAGATGCCAGATAAATTTTGGCCAAGGTTGGTCAAATTTAAAGCAATATGGGCTACTGGAAACTATTGGGAGAAAGACCAGAGGCCTTGCCTCAAGTTTGGCAGTAACTTACTGGGTATCATTGGGCGGGTCCTTTTGCATCTCTGGGCTTCAGTTCTGTCATCTGTAGAGTGGAAATGCTACCAGAGCCCTATTCTATGTCAAAGAGGTATTGTGCTTCCTGAGTTAGTTCTTTAGTTCTTCCCTGAGCACTTTTTACTTCCCATTTTACTTCTGGAAATACTCAGCTCTCAGGATGTTCCTGAATGGCCAGGGCTTCCATGGACTGGCCGTTCTGGTCAGAAGAACTGATGACCCCATGATAAGATGGATTTAGAATCAGGTCATCCCAAAGCATAAAAGAAGATGAGGCTCGGTGATATTAAGGTAGGTTTAAGGGACCAGAACCAAAGGGAATTGGAAAGTCTTTTCTTGTCCTGCAAGAAAATACAGGTTTGGTCACAACCTGGGTGTTAGAATAGGCTCTTTTTGAGGAAAATGCCCTGACATTGTGAGAAGAATGGGTTGCTGTCTACAAAGGCACTTTGAAATTTAATAGTACCCTGTATTTGAAAGAGATTGCTATTAATTTCTTGTCCTAAGACCCACGCTTGATTCTCTCTCTCTCCCTCTCTTCTCTCTCCCTATTTTTCTCTTTTTTGTCACTTTCTCTCATCCTTTCTCTTGGTCTCCTCTCCCCACCTCTGTCCCCTTGTCATTTTCTCTACCCTTTTGTCCATTTGGTAACACCAACCCAGGAAACACTACATGTGTCTGTCTATAATCCTGGGTTTACAGTGAAAATGGTGAAGATAGTCCTGACAAACTTCATTTGCCCACCAACTATGTATCAAGACCTACCATTTGCAATGCCTTGTGCAGGCAGGAGAGCAGTAAATCCTGAACAGGAAGCGCCATTTTTGTGAGAAAGGCACACGTGCTCATTGTCCCTCCCTCCTGAACTGTGGTTCCCTTTCCCATCCCCATAGCTGAGCTCAGGGGTAGCTTAGGAAAGTGTCTGTGATTGGCATGATGGACTGAAGTCTCAAACTTGTGTTCGCTGATCCTGTCTCCTCTAACACTGACACTGACACCACCCCTGGAACTTCCTCTTCCTTTTTGGTAGGAAATGGCTTCTGTCTTCCGTGGGAGCAGATCTCAGCCCAAGTCATCCCAGTTGTAAACCACCATGGTCAGTGGTTTATCTATAGAATTAGAGCTTTGGCAAAAACAACAGGAGTGCATAGATACTCAGTTCCACTGAGGATAAGTAGATTATGCTTTTGTGTTGTTTGACTGGTTGTTTAATTGAACCAAGGAAACAAATCAGGTTCAGCTTCCCGTCTCCTCCCCTTGCTCCAGCCCCTTGCCACTCTAAGACCTTCATTAGTGTTACTTCTTCCTCCAGCCTCATGGGACCAGTGTCGCACGGGACAGGACTCCTATGTCCTCATGGCCAGCTCCCAGGCGGAGATGGAGGAGTGGGTTAAATTCCTTAGGAGAGTCGCTGGCACACCCTCTGGAGGTAAGGACCTCAGCAGGCTTTCCTGGGCAGGTGTCTGTGACATCTCAGGGATGGGGAGGAGGTAGTTCCAGACATGATCTCTCCTTGAACAGTGTTCAAGGGAGACCACCAGAGGACAGCTCTGAGGCCATGCCCATGGCTAAGCCTCTAGCTTCCTTCCCTGAGTCATCTCAAAGAGTCACCTTCAGTTTAGTTGGAAGGACTGAAAGCCCTTTGCACTCATTGGCAAATGTGGGTGATGTTCTGAAGCAGTCCGTTCTCCTCTCTGGGCCGCGGTACTCTCACCTGTAAAATGAATGGGCTGCACCAGCTGACCCTAGTCCCTGGCAGTACTAACATTCTGCAGCAGCATGAGTCGGCCCGGTTATGGGGTTGTGGAACCTGAGAGCGTTGATAGCCAGAGCGATGCCGAAAGCTAAGTTAGGCTGAGCAGCACAGGAAGGCAGAGCTGCCATCCAGAACTGGGTGGTCCGACTGGGGCGAGGTTCAGGAATAGCCTTGCAGGTACTCGGGATGAACACTTTTCTAGGTTCCATGACTCAAGTGTTTGAGCTCTCTGGGGCCTCCGGGGTTGTGTCCAGACTAGAGGAGGGCCGTGCCTGTGAAAAACTGATGTGAAAAAAAAATCTGAAATGAACGAACAGGTGAATCCAGTATGTGTTTTTTCCTTTCATAAAAATATGAAAGAACTGATACGGATGAGTTCTCAAGTGGCCATTTTCCTCCAACTTTTTAGGAACACGCTTATTTGTGTCAACTCCAGGATAACTGTATAATACGGGATTGTTTGTTAACTGTGCTGCCGTTATTTTGGAAATCATTTGGGGGGTTTTACAGCTCAAATATTAAATATTCATTTGATTGCCTAACACTTTCAAGAATTATGAACACCATAGCAATTCTGTGGAAATTTGAAAAAATATAGGAAAATAATGACCTCCAAAAGCAGCGGAGATATTTTTGTTTTCCTTCCAGCTAATGTTTATATATATGTTCCTTTTTTTCTCAGAATGACAAGCATAGAGTATATACAATTTAATACCTATCTTAATTGCTATATAATTTAATTGCTATATGATCTTAATTGGTACATTTCAGGGATTATTTGGTTATAAGAAATAGAAACCGCATGCAATGATGTTAAACAACAAGGAGGGATTTCCTGGGTAGGTACAGTAGCTACCCAAAGAAACCTAGGGCAGAACCACCGAGAGAACTCAAGACATTAAGACCAAGATCTGGACCATCAGCATTGAGCTTGTCCTGTTGGTTTCTCTGCGGCCACGCAGCTTCTCATTCCGCTTTTCTCTGCATGCCTGCCTGTTTTCGTGTAGTTATCAGCCCTCCAGTACTTAGACCTGTCCCAGATACTGCTGTGCCAGCCCCGGCTTTCCTGTATTTCTCCCTCAAGCACCAGCGGAGGCTGAGCTCAACCTCCACCGCCCGATTCCAAACTCCTGAGAATGAGGAGCCACCTGGCTCAGCTGGGCTCAGAAGTCCACCTGCGGCCCCAGGATCTGGGGTGGGGAGGCAGTCCTGTGGTCTGTGACCCTCCTAGTGGGGCTTCAAGAGAAGAAGTGACCTGGATGGAACATCCAAACTCAAGAATGAGTGCCACAGTCCTCCTGAACAGCTGTATCCTGTTACAAAAAGGAGTATCTCGGCTTCATTAACTGTTTCCCAATTCCTAAACACAGTTTTTTACGATGCTAATCAGGCTGAGATGAGGTGTTTATTTATCACAGCTGTATTACATGCCATTCCACCTGGATAATCTTCGCCTTCCCTTCCCTATTGCCCTGGATTAGGAGGTGGTGAGCCACATTGACATGTTGTGTTTCCCCAGTCCAGTGCTTTAGGTTGTCTGCCCTGACAAGGGTCGTGGATATTGCCTTAATTAGGCACCTGCTCTGAGTCAGATGCCGTTGGTGCACTGTGACCAGCATCTGTGCCCCATGTGGTGCTTGGCTCAGCCTCGCCACGGTGAGCTGCTGCACTCAGGCATAGTCCACAAGGGGATTTCTCCCTCACCCCACCTCAAGGCCCCTACCCTGAGAAGCAAGTCAAGCATAAGTCCTGTGGTCAGGGGAAAGTCCAAGTCAGGAGAAAGAAGAGCCCAGCACTATTTATTAACTCAAGGAACAGGTTCGGCTCTGATGTGGCATTTCAGTTGTTTGTAAAAAGCGTCTTATTGAACCAAAATCATAAATCTCGGGATAAGAAGGCATTTTAAGACAGCGATCGGAGAGTCTAGTCTGAGGCCATGGGGCAGGACAGACATCTGTTCTTCCTGTTCGTGAGTCAGGAGACTTTGATTCTGAGGAAGTCAATGATTAGTCCAAGGGGCCCAGCTATCGAGGGGCCGGGCCGGGGCTCCTGCCTCTGTGGGCGGCTCTCTGTCACCGCACCATGATCCCACTTGGAAAGTGCCTCTCATAGAGTCTGCTAGATCGGCAGGGGAGGTCCCCACAAACAGTGTGACATCATTGAGATATGTTGCTGCTGCCTCTTCCCAGCCCTTTGTGAAAGTTTCTATGCTTTTCCCACCCAGAACCTACCTTTTCACTCCTTGCTCTTCCTCAAACACCCTAGGCACATTCCTGCCTCAGGGCCCTTGCACTCACTGTTTCCTCTGCCTGCAACCCTCTTTCCCCTGGGGAGCTGCAAGGCTTGGTCCCTTGCTTTCTGCAGGCCTTTTCTCAAACATCACCTCAGTGAGCCTTCCCCTGATCGTCCCATTTAACGTTGAACTCCTTCCCCACCCAAACCCCCATCCCTCTTTCCTGACTCACTTTTTTCCTTAGCACTTACCTGCTTCTAACATGCTAAGTATTTTACTCATTTGTTCATCGTTGGTCTCGCCTCACTAGAATGAAAGCTTCAAACTACTTGGCAGGAAATTTTTTTCTATTTTGTTCAGTGCTGTATCCCAGCATCTAAACAGTGCCTGACATCGTAGGTGCTCAATAAATATTTATTAAATGATTAGGAGAAGGAATGGCCTCCTCTCCCCATAGAAGTACTATGTTCTGCTCCCTCTAGGCTTTCCTCTTTGTTAAACGATGATCAGCTTATCTGAGAAATTATTTGGTAAATGGGTTGCTCCCTCTAGAATGATCTCCCTCCAAGCACATTAATGGTGAGCTTTGATGAAGCTCTTTATGGTTCATAGACCCCTTAGAGAATCTGACAAAAGCTATGGAAACTCTTCCCAGAAAAATGTTCAGATGAAACTATTTTGCATTCAACTGCAAAATGTTTTCAGACCCCTGTAGTCCATCTGTACGCCCCAGATAATGAATCCCAACTTTAAGTTTTAGTAGTCACTCTAGTGACAATTTGGCAAAGCTAAGGCCTCTCTGCCTGCCCTAGTCCCGTTTCTGTCTCCTTTCTCCCTTGATGGGAGAGATGACCCACCTGGTCCCCATGGCACACCCGGCTTCTTCCCCTTGGCTGCTCCTGCCTCGTAGCTGGCTCTGAACATTCCTCTCTCCTTATCTGATTCTGGGACCAATTCCAATGTGTGTGTGTGTGTGTGAATTCTCAGAGATCAGCTGAGTGTCCTACAGTTTAACTCAACTCTGACACTCTCTACCCAGAGACAGCGTCAGATTCTACACCTTGAGGACTCGGTCCTACAAGACTGCCCCCAACCACACACACGCTTCAGAGGCCAGTCTCAAGTCCAGATCATCCATCGCCTGTGCTTCTAACCAACTGCCTAGAGATCGGAGATTCCAACTACCCCCTCCTTGGGTTTGAATAATTTGCTAGAATAATTTGCTCACAGAACTGAAGAAACCAGTTTACTTACTAGATTACTGGTTTATTACAAAAGGATCTAACTCAGGAGGAGCCAGACGGAAAAGATGCATGGGGCAAGGTATGGGGAAAGGGCATGGAGCTGCCATGCCCTCTCCGGGTGCATCGCCCTCCCCGGACTTCCGCATGCTCGCCAACCCTGAAGCTCTCTGAACCCCGTCCTTTTGGGTTTCTATGGAGGCTCATCATGCAGATGATTGATTAAATCATTGGCCAGTGGTGATTGAACTCAGTTGCCAGCCCCTCTTGCCTCGCTGGAGGTTGGTGGGGGGGCGGGGGGACACTGAAAGTTCCAACCCTCTAATCACGTTTGGGTCCACTGGTACCCAGCCCCCATCCTTAGGTGCTTTCCAAAAGTCACCTCTTTAACATAACAAAAGATACCTTTATCCCTCTCATCACAGGAAATTCCAAGAGTTTTAGGAGCTCCTTGCCAGGAAATGGGTGGAAGACCAAATATATATTTCTTGTTGTAAATCACAGTATCACACCTTGGAGAGCCGTACCTTGGTACATCTCACTGTTCCAGCCTTTTCCTTCCTAGCCAGCCAGTTTTTTTTTTTTCTACTACCCTCTCCTAAGGGTGGGGCTGGAAAGGTTAGATTAACTTCTTCCCAGAAGGTCTGGATGCAATCCTAGGTTTTCCCAATTTAAGTGGGAGAAAGGGAAGAGAGGTGATCACGTCTCAACTTCTGGTGACTTGTTCCCAGGCTCACAGCTGCCCATTTTCTCCAAACCACCCTTCTTTTTAGTAAGAGGGCTCTGCCTTCCCTGGAGCACCACATTGAAACCTGGTCTCTTTTGCATGCGTAGGGAGCAGACAGTCCACATTGCAAATTGTTATTCAGTCAGGCCCTGCCTTGCTTTCTTCTCCTGGAGGCTGGCCATCTGAAGTTTTTCTCAGGCCATAGGCACTCCACTACATTGTGCATAGCTCTGCTTGGCCCAACCAGAGTGTGAGGTCCTGGGGCAGGTCCCGTGTTTTAAGCACCTTTGTGTGTTTGCCAACACTAGGCATAGAGTATATAAATATTGAATTGTTATATGCCTTGGGTTTCTTTTCTTCCTCTCATTTCTTAAGTTCTCTGCATCCTTCGGAGCATGATTTCACAATCCACAGCACGGGTTAGCCTGTGGGAGTGTGCTGTCTCTGTGATTCATTGTTGTTCCATGTGTGC